GAGTGGCAGCACTCTCCCCCTCTCGATTAAATCGTTTCAAGAAATCGACATGCGCTAACAGTAGAAGTTTCGCTAATCGCTATTCGAAAAGCAGAAAATGTATGGACAGCAGATTTTTTAGGATGTTGCTGGACTTCTCTAGGGAGTGCTAGACTCCACTAGGTGTGGTGCGCACCCCTCTGCACCCCCATTAGCCTCGTTGTCTTTCTCTTATCTCTCCCCCCCCCCCACAGCTTCGTCCGACCTCGCCCTTAATAGCGCCTGGGGTATACCTCCACGGTAGACCCGCCCCTACAAACAAATAAACACAGATTATGAAAACAGGGGAAAATTAGCGAGACCAATGTCTCGGCAACAAGACATTCAAAATTTACTTCCAGTGACAATATTACAAAAACGGTTTTCATTTCTTGGCTATGTACATCGTAATAAATAAGCAAGACTAAAAAATCACCAAATATGCTATAAAAACATTGTGCTGACTCGTGCGAGTAGAAAATATTCGTGCCCCTAAATTATACGCATATACACGCTTAATTAAACTACATGCCTACAAAGTATCTGGTTCAAGCATCGTAGCTCTATCATTTCTGAACTGTTCTTCCTAGATGTTTGATAAGGGTCATCCCTTATAAGCTAGGGTACACAACAGGGGACAAATCGCTGCAACACGTCGCAGCGACAAATTTCTTGGTGTGAACAGGAGAAGTTTAGTGAAAATTTTGTCGCCGCAACATGTCGCACAAATTCAAACTGGTTTGATTCTGTGCGACCTATCGCGGCGATAAAATCAGAAAAATATCATTGTCGCTATTTGCGCAGCGTGTGAACATTTCTGCAACATGTCGTGGGCACAAAATACAAATTAACCAACTGGCGCGTCCAGCATTCTCTCTTGATGCTCTTCGTCATCCAGCAGCATCATTAAAAGACCTAACACCTTTTAACTTTAAGCTAGATGGCATTTGCTGTAGTCTCTTGCCCGCCATATTTAACTAGTTTACAATTCCTCTCATGCCAAGCGCATCACGGCCACAGAATGTTGCAGCGATCTGTTTCGAGAAGTAGTTCACACGATGCGATTTGTCATCGCAATGAGCTCACGTGACGTGTCGCCCGACTGAACACACGAAACCAGGGCGCTTATATATTTATATTTATATATATATATATATATATTTATATATATATATATATATATATATATATATATATTTATAT